GTTTTCGTTGTTTGCTATTTCTCCGGCCTCTATCAAATATCTAGCCACATGTTCGACAGTCGACTCTGTCGTATCCCCTGAAAATTTAGTAAACTTTGGGACTTTTCCCCTAGGTGGCAAGTCAATTTGCAGAATATACTCTGACAACGGGGATGTAAAGTTTTATCTGTGAAAACCATCATTCACCCCATTTTGAAGCATAATCCTTTCGATCATGGCAGTTAAATTATTGTCCGTCCCATAGTTTTGGTGTCGAACTTGCTATATCAATTCGTCAGTGTTTTAGTTTCTATTAGCCATAATAACGCCTTGATCGATTTATCTAAGGTTTCGTGGTATCTCAATCCTTGGTTGTTCTATTTCTACCCTAGGAATCTGGGGGTTTGGATTAACGATCAAATCCTCTTCCATAATTACCCCTTGGTTCACTCTTATGGGGTTGTCGAATAACTTGGGGTACCCCAAAGAATTCAGCCATGCGCGTCATTTGCGCTGTCATCTGTTGATTCGACTGTGTAGCCGTCTGAATAAGGGGATTTAGCATTGTACTTAGAGTTTGTGCTAACATTTGTATCATTTCATGATTACTTTCGTCCATCTGTTGCCTCAAAATTGCTGTTGAAACATTTGTGAGGCTTGGTATTACGTGAGATGGCCCTCCCAAAAATTGGTTTCTACTGGCTCCAGACCCTTGTAAGGGCGATGTTGCATTCACCAAAGGTTCTGAAAAAGTGGAAGCAGCATTCATAAGGCTAGCCATTTCAGTAGTGGCATGCCATATGGCTGTTCTCGACCCACCCAGGTTGTCGAAAAGCCTGGGGGCACAACTGATCGAGATCCTAGATTTATCCTTGGTGGATGCGTTCCTAAAGAACCTCTTGGACCCACATACGAAAGTAAGGGTCCAATTTAATTTGTGGTTAACGTTGGCATTGATCCAACAGAAGTTGGGATATTCCCTTCAACAGCAGTAGTAACCACTGTTCCTATGATTGGTGGAGGTATTTCTCCATGGTTTGGCTCGTTAGCCATACTACTCTCACTATTTTCCTTTCTAACAGTATACTTGTTGGTGTTGGTTACTCTACCACTGCTTAATAACATGCAATGTTATAACCGTACGGGAAAAAACACAATAACATAAAAAAAATTAGCAACGTCCCATCGGGTGTGCCAATTTATTTACCGTTGTTTTTGGTAAACAACCGCTGATCTCCAAAAAGGTAAGTTCTTTTTGGTTTACTTACGGGATCAATCAGATTAATCCCAGGACATATGCTAATTTTTATGTAAGATGGATAAGCAGGAAGAACGCATGTTCGACCCAGAGAAAGGATGTTTGAGATTTTGGAAAAGTAAGCAGAAATGTAGAAAAGCAAGTAAAAGAAGTAAAAAAGATAACTTTGCAGGATAATAGTAAAGTAATGTAAAAACTTTCATTAAGGAAAAAAGGTGTTTCCAACGTACATTTCTCAGTCTTTATCCTTTCTCACGCAGAAGTTACTTGGATAATGGTTGAGTGACTTAGTACAATAGGTTGAACACACTTGAAAATTACACAAGTTTCTTAATTTATACTAAAAATAAGTAACCGTCGAGGAATCATTCTGCGCTAAGATGAAGACAAGTTTCTTCTGCATGTCCCCCGACCTATGGCTTTCAGCCACGTTGCGTCTTCTTAAACGCCGGCGAAACTGCCTTTCCCTCCAATAATTCAAAATTCAAATAGTCCTCGTATCATGTGTCAAAGCGAGGATACTTTCTCTCAGTCGAGGGACATAAGTCCTCTTCAGTCGAACGAACCTGAAAATGAGCCATGTCGAAGGCTCAAATATAACTTAGATCTTTTTCCCTAAGTTATTTCATATGTCGAACATTCTTCTTGACTTGGTTCATTCCAGTTTTTTGGTCTAAAAGACCAAATATAGTAAGTGTCGAATTTGGGAGCCAACACTTACCTTAATGCCATTGGAACACTTATGTATCTTGCTAACTATACAAGATCTGATATAGCTTTTGCAATGAATTTACTAGCAAGATTCATCTCAAGTCCTACAAAAAGACATTGAAAATGAATAAAGCATATATTTTATTATCTCCGAGGTACATCTGACCTTGGTTTATTTTATTTTAACAATACAAAACTAATTTTGCTTGGTTATGCAAATGTATGATATTTGTCAGATCCACATAATACTAAATCACATAATTAATATATATTTACATATGGTAACACAATAATATCATGGAGATCACAAAAGAAAACACTTGTAGCAACTTCTTCAAATCACGCTGAAGTAATTTCCTTTAATGAAACAAGCAAATAGTGTAGAGGGATACGATTAGTAACCCGACATATCCAATGAGTGTCTGGTTTATCAATTGATAATAATCCAAAAAAATTGTATGAAGACAATATTGCATGTGTTACCCAGATGATAGAAGGTAACATAAAAAGTGACAGAACCCAACATATCCCTCCAAAGTTCTTCTCATTCACACAAGAATTCGAAAGAAACAAAGTGGTTGATATTCAATATATAATGTGGTAGACCTCTTCACAAAGGCATTTCCTACATCAATTTTCAAGAAGCATGTACAAAATATTGAAATGTATCATCTTCGAAATCTTTAAAGAAGAACTAAATGTGTTATGTTGAGGGGACCATAATGTTGTACTCTTTTTTCTTTATTAATGTTTTTATCCCAATAATTTTTTCCTAATAAGGTTTTTAACGAAGCAACATATGTTCCCATAAGATTCTCCTCGATAAGACTTCAATAGAGTACCGTGATAGATATTTCAAAGGGGGGAGTCTTATAATAATAAACAAGAATATTATATATTATTATTATTATTATTATTATTTAGAAATATATATATCTTAATGTCAAACTTAAAATAGTTATGTCAAATTATTTGAGATGCATAATTTGTCAAAGATAGAATAGTAATATCAATTATTACATTAGTTTAATAGTGATATTCTAGTAATATAAATATTCCCTTTGATTCATTTAAATTTACATTAATTTTCTTTGAAAGACATAAGTAATATCATTCTATTTTCTTTTTCATTTTCTCTTAGTTAAATATTATAATTAAATTAGTAACTAATATCATCATATTAGTTCATAAATATTAACAAAACTTAAATTCTAATATGCGTCTTTTATCAACAAATTAGATTTAAGGCATGTTTGGATTGACGGTGGACATAATTATTTCTATCATAATTGAGTTTAGTAGAATTGATTTTAATAGAATTGAGTTTAACATTATGTTTGGATACATTTATATAAAAGTGATTTGAACAATAAATTTCAATGTAAAATTCACTCGGGATCAATTCTGGAAGCAGAAATTACAAATTCTAGTTTTAAATAGAATCAATTCTGAAGGTAGAATCAATTCTACTTTTAATAAACCAAACACTTTAAAATCACCCAAAATCAATTTTACATCTTTAAAATTGATTTTGAAGTTGATAGAAGACAATCCAAACATGCACTTAATTTATGATCTAAATTTTTTAAAATACACGGTACTTGTTGAAATATGTACACATACATGATCACACTTCTGTTCTGTTTCTCTCTCATTCGTAATTGATTGTGCTGTAACTACGAGTGTTTAAATCCAAAACAATCTAAATAAAAATTGCAAACCGATTCAAAAAAATCGAAAATCACAAAAAATCAAAATTTATTAGATGTGTTTGAACGTCATTTTGTGAAAACCACTCTGTTTAGATTGAGTTTCATATTGATTATTCAAAATCGAACTGAACCGCATATGTAGATTTTTCTACTTATTTTTTTTATTAGTATGATATGTTATGTTAATTTATTTTAAATGGTAATTATTTTTTTAATAATATTTATTGTGTAATTTATTTATTTTAATTATTGCAACCATAATTGACCATTCTCATTTTATAATTTTAACTTTTAATATACTATATATTATATCAAACCTATGATTTATTAGTATTTTTATAATATTAATAAAGAATATAATTTATGATTTGAATATCCAAAAATTGATCTAAATTAAACCGTATTAAATTGAATTAAATTTTTTTAATACATAATCTAAAACCAAATCACAACTAAATTCATCTTTAAATCAGATAAGTTTTTGTTTTAAAACCGATCCAAACCAAACCGCGAATACTTTAAATGCAACCAACTACCATAAACCTAAAATTTTCATTAATACACTGTAACTGAAAAAAAAAATTAAACCTTCACAATTTTTTTTTAATGAAATTTGTTCTGTATCTTAAAGCGTTGGCAAAATTTGCCAACTATGAAACACCCATAAATAAATTTTTTATTATGATATCAAGTGAATCCAAACTGAAAACAGAGTGAAACTTATGAAGTAATCAGTATCATTTATTTTGGTCTTTTTTGCAATTCATTGCAATATATTTTTCTGTATTTTTCGTATTAAACAAAATAATTAAATTGGTCTATGAAAAAGATAATAATCAGAGTCCTTATAAAATAGAATTGTAGCAAAGAGTTAGAAATTTGATAGTTAAAAAATATAGTTTGGAGCAGACCAATATCTCGAGAAGAAATAAGGAAGATATTGTGTGAAAATTGTAAAAAATATTCACGGGCACAACAAAAGGTATCAAATCTACTTCTTTGGAAGTAAAATAAACCTACATGCAACTAAAGAAATCCGTCGTTTTAAAGTTTAAGGTCAAAATACGACCAAAACACAACAAAGGTTATCAAAACATACTCCATTAGGAAGTAAAACAATGAGGTCTAATGAATATGAGCCAAGGTTAAAAGTATATTAGGACAAGATAATCCAGCTAAATCATCTGCTAAATGTTGCTTCATGAACACCTGCAATATTGGTTATCTTTACAGTAAGAATGTAAGATACCTACACCATGCTACAATAGCCAATTGAGATACAAACTTCCCTTTCAAGAGAATTCATAAACTTCTGAGTTGAATCAAAATACCTAGGGGATTTAGGTATTTTTCCTTCTTGAAACAATCTCTGTTGCCCAAGCTTTGCCAATTTCCGTTTGGAACTCCCCTGCAAAATATGATTTTAAGTGAATACATCGCCAAATCAAGTGATTCAGATGTCAAATGACACTCCTTTCTCACCATAAGAACCAGGCATAATTAACTCCCACATAAATATTCCAGCTAGTTAAAAAAATCATTAAAATGGAATTTCTTTTTCGATAACAAACACCATCTTATTTTAGTTCCACTTCTCAGCTTCAGATCATAAACAAGTGAATCATACTATCAAGTGCTGATTTGCACTATCTACTAAAACTCGGTTGTACCAGGCTCTCTATTGTGAGATAGTTAATTATGCTTCAGTAGTACTATATATATACTTGCCCCATACCCATAGATATCAAATGTACACCTAACCAATAAAGAACTATGTAAACAACAGATTGGTGCTCTCTAGAGGATAAAGTGCAACAGTAACCAATGAATAAAACAATAACAGGTACTGAGAATAAAATACACAAACATGTGTATGATAAACTATAAGTTGTTGAAATCTCAACCGATGACTTTTTGATCAATGATTATCAGTTAAAGTAGTCAGAGCCTTAAACAACTGTAAGTTGCCAAAAGAATAAAAGTCGGTGCTGAAAATCATACCAGCAGTCGAGCGTAAAAATTCATCCAAATCATTTCCTTGCTCTGAACAAAGATATGAGAGAACATATTTCACATTATGTACCAGAATTAAAATGAAATATCAGAATTAAAATGACATTATGCTTAGAAGATAATGGAAACAAAGTAGTTCTATCAAATGGCATAACATGACACAAAACTAACTACCTATAAAAATATCTTTATGCAAAATTAAAATGAAAGCAGTAAATCATCATCATCGTCACTATTGCAATATGAATTATTAGTAATGGTACCCTGTAGAAAACAAACAAGGAAACTCAAAGGTAATAAAAATATTACTTATAACTGCCAAAAGTTTAAACTGTTCAATATCATTTGCATAAGTTTCAAAGTAAAATATAAATTAGCTTTGAAGATGACTAATGTTCAAAGATTGACAAACAATTCAAATGGTTTGACAAGGCAAGAACTCAAGGTACTTTAACTCCAAACCAGGGCTTGAAGTATCATTTCTATCGTAATAAAGTGAAAAGAAGCAAGAAAAAATTAAATTAAAGAATCTTCTCACCATCTCCTTTATAGTTCAGCGCTTGAAGTATCATTTCAACCTGTATGGAACAAAAATTGTCATAGAACCAGAGTAACTGGCGGTTTAAATGGTAAGAACTCAAGGTACTTTAACTCCAAACAAAATGTGGTATAATCATTATCAAACAAATTCAATAATCTATGGTAGAATATAAACAATAAACTAGCTACTTGTTACTACTATGCCCGCTTAGCCCAGTTCTTTTGGGGGCTTTGGCGGACGCGGACATTTACAAGGCGCAGACATGGATTTTTCATTAAGGTGCCATCTAGCCTTATGAATCAGAAACAATAACCTGCATAAATCTCTTGACAAAGCTAAAGAAAATGTCATGAGGTTACAAAAGCCAAATGGCTGGATGATCCTAGCACACTTGGTTGAGATATTTGTTTTGCATGTTACTAATTAAACGCCCCTGGATAAGACATCCTGCCCACCCTCCATCTCCCTAGGCCCTTCAGTTGAAATCCCTTAGAGCATGTTTGAATGGAGGATAAATTTCTCTAATTTAATATATTTATGAGGAAAGAAAAAAAATGATATATTAACTTATAATCTAAAATTAATTGTTTAATCCATTGATCTTTTTTATAGCCAGTGTAACTCTCTTCATCAAATGAAAATTTTCACTTTCCGTTTACTTTCCTCCAAAACCTTCTATCCAAACCACCATGTAAACCACAGAAGTGAACCACTGAAAGACAGAATAGGCAAAAAGCCACAAACCTTGTCAAGGTCCTTGACAAATTTTGCTTCTGGAGAAGAATTTGCTTCGTAGTCCATCCACAACTCAGTAATTTCCTTTCCTTCAGTATGAAAATTCAATTAAAACCAAGAAGTGTGAGTTTTCTCAACTCCCATTAATAAACTCATCATCAAAGTAGCAAGGAAGCACCTCTCGATCCTTCTCCCTCTCCAAGTATTCGGCACATATTATAAAGCGCCACTTGTCCTCGTTGATGCGTTATTTCTCTCCGAACATAGGGGGTTGTGTCCAAAATCATTACTGTTAAACAAAGCACCAAAGAAAGCAAATCAATTTATAGCTCCAAGAAGGAAACATGGATGAGAAATATGATAGCAACACGATACTCTCACGTTAAAGCTTCTGTCAATTTGAAAGCCTGAAAATTTTATTTTTAGCAAAAGAAAAATAGGGATAACAAAACCATTGTAATTCTAAACGCATCAAATCAACGTTCAACATTATGTTGATAGGAGGAGTGTGTCAATTCACCTTCCCTAGACTTTCTCGCCTAATACTGGACACTGTAGTGTTCTAGAGCCTTCTGCATTAGCAACTGTTAGTTAGGCAAGCTAGGCATAACCAACTATTAGTAGCAAAGTTTCGGTTAATTTCTGTTACACATGGTTAATCAGAACTACTAGCATCTAGAAGATTCTGCATTATACATGCCGTTGGTTATGCATTGTGAAGCTCAAACAAATATAAATTAAATTCAGTTTCACTTAAGTTCTCCCAGTTCTTGAAAGTTCATAATATGTTAGTTAGTTACTACTCTCCGTGTCTAGTCTGGCGGGCATTTGAAAATTCATAATGAGTGTATGCTGGTTAGTTACTACTCTCTGTGTCTACTCTCCGACTACAGGGCAGCTGAGCTGTAATTCCGTATTATTATTTGAATGAATTAGAGTTTAAGTAACTATGAGTCATACTCAAAACTATGTGAACTACATAGTAAGAATATCTTGCTGTCAATGTCACCATTTATCCATAGTTCCATACCATACCTCGTCTATATTAATTTTAAACTAGCCCTAGTATTCAGTCGGTTTCTTCCAGATTTCATTGATTTACAATCCACCAAATTATTACTCCCCCGACTGACTACATCTAAACTTGTCTCAAATATTACTCGCCAAGGATACTTGAGGAATAAAAAGCTATTTTCCCATACATACGCAAATTTTGCAGAGTAAAACAGCATACCTTCTGCAGTGTCGTGAATAATAGCCATTTTGATGCACCTGACAATTAACAGATTAACCAATTTCAGAAAACCTAATGTGACATTTTGATGCAGCTGACAATTAACAGATTAACAATAATAGAGTCAGGAGACAAAAGTAAAGTGGATTAACTTGTTTCGGTCAAGACCGGGAACATCTGGTGCAATCAGCGCCATCAAAGTCATTCCATACATATGATCAGCTAAAGATTCTGGATTCTCCACGTCACTTCTCAGCCATCTTGTTGTCCCCTTTCTTGCCTATTTCATACCAAACGTATGCAGTATTCAAACAAGTTAAAGAATAACAAATTAACAGCAGAAAAAGAAAACGGAAACAAGGTAGAACAATCACATTCGATTTTCAATAGTTTCGCGTATCGCTAAACTAATAGAACTGTATTACATTTTACATACAGAAACGAAACGGCGCATAGTTTAACATGAGATAACAATTTTAGTAAGCAAAATTAATCGATCATCATCGATGCAATGCATCATTCAATTTTGCAGATGAAACTATTATGCATGATTTGTTGAACTGATTCGGTGTTTATGAGAAACTGAGAAGTAGATTGTAAACCTGATTTACGGAACGTACCTTGAGTTTGTGACAGAGAGAGAGGAAATCGACGGCGGATTTAGGAGAAGGGGGAGCGTCGGGAACTACCGAAGAAGAAGAAGGCGGCGGAGTGGTGTTGGTGCTAGCGGTGACAGGCGATGACGGTGATGATGATGAAGGTGCGGTGACAGGCAATGACGGTGATGATGATGAAGGTGCGGTGGCAGGCGATGACGGCGATGATGATGAAGGTGCGTTGGCCATGAGAGAAGTTCTGTTGAAAATCGTTGAGAGAGAAAGAAAGAAGAAATGAAAAGGCACCTACACTAACTAACTGTAACTGCCTTCTCGCTATATTTGTAGTGCGAAATTATCAATTACAAATTTATTTGCGTGTTTATCAAATAAACAATATGAGAATAAAGGAAATACACCTACTCCACGGTGTAAAATAATTTTTATATTATTAATTAATCACGATTATACTAAACATTAAATTATATTATTATTTTTAAATAAATTATATGATATAGTTAGTTGAAATAATTTTATTGAACAACAATACACTATTTTTTAACTTATATACAATTATAAATAAATTTAAATAGGTTGTTTTTTATTATAAAAAAAATACTAGTAGTTATTTATAAACTATAAACTATCTTGGATAATTTAAGTTTATCAGGGTGTCTTGAGATTTTTGAGGTAGAACATTTGCTAGAGATTGAATTCGAAAACTAATGAATTTTTTTACCAATGATCTTATTTATGTTTATTGAATATTATTTTATAACTAACATGTTTTTTTGTTTGAGTTAAATTTTTCTTCAGCAAAATTACCATTCAAATGAATAAAATATTTAATCAGGGGTGCAACGTTGAAAGAAAAGGGGTGTCTAGAGCAAATGACAAAATCCAAATGTATGCCAAGGCCCAAAAAGATCAAGACAAAATAATAAATTACATAATTGATTACTATGTAGGTCTAATTGATTAGAAGTGTTTTGAAATTCAAATTTTGCGCCTCATAATCGATTAATCCTAATGGCTTAATCGATTATCACCTCTTCAAGTGTGTGCTTCCAGTGATCAATCATTAGGATTCATGGCATTAACTGCACTAATCAATTATCAGGGGCAATAATCGATTCGAAGCAATCTTTAAATAGGTATCTGGCCCTCTCTTCTCTTCATCCCATCTTTTACTTTTCTATTCTTCTTCTTGCTTGTGTTTTTTTTTTTGTGAGTGCAAATATTACTTGCAATCTTCTTTATCATCATCATGCCTCCGAAAAGAATCCACACATCTGGAAGTACTTCTTCTCCATCTTACTTCTCAAATTCTTTCTCATCTCAAGAGCAATAAGAAATATATAATAGAGATTTTGACACAAGAGATATTTTTAATTCTAAGTACTTGGAAGAAAAGGTCTTCGAAGAATGTGAGCTTTTAGAGCTTTTCGATGAAGCAATGTGTTACACCCCAAAATTTTCCCTCCAATTTTTACTCAAGATATGCTCATTGAGGTCTTCAATTGCTCAAGGTTGACCAAAGAATCGATCAGACAAATTCTCCTCCTAAGCAATAAACCTCCAACTAGGGTTTCACTTTTCACCAAGATGTTTGGTTTGCAAAAGCTTCTAGCGATTTCCATGGCACCCTATACGCATCAGCATAATGGCTTAGCTGAAAGAAAGAAAAGAAGTATACAGAACATGATGAGGTGTATGTGGAAAGCTAAGAATATGTCTAAGAGATTATAGACTGAAGCAGCTTCGACAGTAGTATGCAGTCTAATTTGATGCCCAACGAAGCAGATGGTCGAAAAAGGCACCATATGAGGCTTGGACAGGGTCGAAGCCAAGTATAAGTCATCTTAGATTTTTTGGATCAATATGTTTCAAGCATAGTGAGGAAGAGGTGAGACTTTGATTGGTTGAATTGAAAGAAAGGAGATCGAAAAGAACATAACGAAGCTTCGACAAGTCAAAAGGAAGAGGTGATACTCCGATTGGTCGAATTGAAGGAAAGGAGATCGAAAAGAACATAACGAAGCTTCGACAAGTCAAAAGGAAGAGGTGATACTTCGATTGGTCGAATTGAAGGAAAGGAGATCAAAAAGAACATAACGAAGCTTTGACAAGTCAAAAGGAAGAGGTGATGCTTCGATTGGTAGAATTGAAGGAAAAGAGATCGAAAAGAACAGAACGAAGCTTCGACAAGTCAAAAGGAAGAGGTGATACTTCGATTGGTCGAATTGAAGGAAAGGAGATCGAAAGGAACAAGAACTGAGTTTGAGTAGCTGATTGGATATGAGGGGTTTCCAGATTACACAATCGATGCAGATGGTGACTAAGTTAAAGAAGCCATGATGATGAAGCCTTGAGCAATTCGAATTGGAACTCAGAGCCATCGAAAAGAACAAAGCTTGGGAGCTTGTCGAAACAATCAATTGATATGAAATGGAGATGCAAGTCAAAACTAAAACCTAATGGGATGAAGCTTGTTGGGCTTGGACTGTTTAACTCGAAGCCCAAATTCGTGCAAAACACCAAGCATAACCTATCCAGGTTCACTCAAAGTTCAAAATGGCATGAAATATCTCAAAATGGCAACTTTTCAAATCTGATGATTTTGCTTTCAAAGCCATAGTTAATGGCTGATTCATGCCATATTTGTTCATCACTGCACCCCTATATAAATACAAGACCAAATCAGAAGGGACACACACATATGGCTTATCAAAGCTCCAAAAATCGTAAAAGCTTCAACAAAATTGTCAAACTCTAAACAACCTTTACAAGCCTTCTCCATCCAGACCAAGCATCCTACCATTCTCCTGAAGATTCCAGGAGACATTCTCAGTCCTTAGCAGTTCCAACCTGTGCGAAATCTCCCTCACCCGATCTCACAGTTTTTGGTAAAAATTCCTCGATCTCAAACTCATAGAATACATGATTTAAATTCGCATTGATCATATATACTATTGCTGCTGATGTTTATGTTTGATTGAATGTGTTACATGAGAGATTAGATGCGGAATCAGGGAATTACCAGGTTCAGGGCACAATCTGGATCGTGGCTTGAAATGGATGATATGGCCATGATCTGTCGAATCCAAGACATGATTCGACCCAGATCTAGGATTTTGTTTTTTTTCTTCTAACGAGTTTCCTGCAGATCTAGTGTTCCCAGATTGAAGGAGTACATCATACACCATCATTCCCTTACTGCCAGATGCTGGCCAATCCAGATCCAGTGCCTTCGACGTGCAGTCTGCCGTGCATTTTCGGCAACCTCCCTCATTGGGTCGAAAGGCAACCTGGGCCCCTTTCTGATCTGGGCCTGCGTTCTGCAAATTACACCCCCTGTTTACTAGTCAGCCTGACCCATTTACTTGTTTTTTTCTTCTTCTTTTAGTTTATTAATTCAAAGCTTTTTTTTTCCTATTATTTAATTATAAAATCAGGTAAAAATCACAAAATATTAGGTTAGCATTTTCTCAAATAAATTAATTTTATAAATTAATTTATTAATTATTTTAACCCCTTTTTAATTTAAAACTAAATAGACTTAGGATTTTAAATTAAATTTCTTTCCATGATCCAAAACAAACAAAAAGATTTTTCCTTTTAAGTTTTAGACACTATTTTCATTTCGCGCGCGTTATTTCCTTTCACACTTTTTTCATATTATTGTACCTGCTTCCTGGTTGTAATAGTTTAAAGTAGGCTTTACTTTACTACTTTTATCTCCCCCAAGTTTTTGGACATGTAATTAATCCCCCTCCCCGAAGCCTTGTAAGATTTTATGATTTACATTTCCGCACTTTAAATTCATGCAAACTATTAACTGTTAGATGTATGTTTAATAGGATTGTATGGAAAGAATAACAAACAAACGCTAGCAAACTTAACACAAAACAAAAATAACTTAATACAACACACTTGCACATGCACACCTCTAGGGTATCCCCACTTCAGTTGCCTTCGGATTAAAATAGTCACATATCTCGAAACGTGAGAGATTTTAGTGGCTACCCTCCGGTTTAAAGATCATAAGTCCCTCGATGACCCTCTTGACGTTGCCTCGGTATGATCTTAAAAATCCTAGGATAGTTTCTAAGGTTTCTTGCTCAGTTGCCTTTGTGACTGTATAAACGTCCCTTCGAATGTCCCTCAAACATCCAACGACTAGGGCTACCTACTCATTAATAGTAGTATAGCATTGTCTAAAGGAAAAAAGGAAAATAAAAAAACCTTTCGAGTGAAGTAGATGGCTGTTAGATGCTTGCTCAAACAATTTTCACACTTACACAAGACTTATTTCAAAAACATTTTCAAATACTTTGTATACGTTCTCTACCATTCCAAGAAACATTACAAAGTTCTCCGCACTAAGGCGCTTTCAAAAATACTTTTCAAAACACACAAAGCATAAGGTATTTTTCAAATGAGCTAAGCATCTAAGAGCCCGTAGATAACTACGGATGGAAAGGGTGCTAACACCTTCCCTTTCCATAATCTACCCCCTTACTTAGAAATAATCTCGAAAGGTCTTTTTCTATTATTTTCACCCTTTCCTTTATTGGATAAAAGAAAAGTCGGTGGCGACTCTTACTTACCGCAACATTTGCAAACACAAACGCAAAAACTAGTATAACAGTCGGTTCTGCAACCATATCACAGAACTGGTGACTCTGTTGGGGAGATACTTATAAAGTGGGGTTACCTTAGAGTTTAGGTCATTTTAAATTGCTTTACATTGTGTGTTTTGTATGCTTTACTTTTGAGGGCTTGTTTGGGTTATTACTAAAAGATCCTACACCCTAATCTGGGAAACATTATTAGGTAAGTAGCAATAGATCATGGGGAATGTGCGAGGTATACCGACATGGTTGAAGCGATAGCTACGTTAGTGTAACACATTTGTTGGTACCGGTAGCCCTTGAGTTTAGTCAAGGAGAATAAGGGGCCGCTGTATGGTATCATGAAGCACTAACTGACCTTAGAACCTTTAATTGAACAACTTGGCCATTAGGAAGTAGTGAGATAACTGGCTTTGGTGCAGTCCGAAGTTGGTTGATACTCGATACTACGCTTATTGAGATCAGACTTTCGAGATATTTCAGTCGCCAATAAAGAGGCTTGTGCTGAAACAATGCCTGATAAAGAAAGATCAGTGATATTGAGACTCCTTAGAACCCGGTTACTTTCTAGGACAGGTTGAGCCAACTGAAACTTCAAGAGGGTACTTACCTTTA